CGTCAGCGAAGTAAGAAAACGCAAGTTACGAAACAGATACACAGAAGAAGAAAAATTCCAAACCTTTCAAACCGCTTATAGAAGAACCCCCCCCCCTCCCCCCCTCCAAAAAAAAAACCTGACTTAAAAGTCATACCACGAACTTTAAAACCAAGAAAAAGCAACTCCAACTCCAAGTCCGAATCCACAAATAAAAGCTCGCTCGTAGCCCTCAATAGCAGCGATCAAAACGGCAATCCTTCCTCTCCACAACAGCAGCAACATACCATAATACCAACAACCATCACCAATGAAGAACCCCCCGCACAATACTTCCCCGCCCAAAGCCGAATAAATGCAATCAATATCCTCCTCTACAACCCCTCCACATCAATCAGCATAGCGAACAAAAAACCCACACAGAAACTTTAACAATCTAGAAAACCAGTATCCTTGGGAGGCTCGTCGCGAGTCCTGATCTCCGATCAAAGCTGATACGGTAACGGATGAGCTGGGGGGAAACCCTTGGAGAAAGGCAGGTAGAAGGGGTTATTTAAAACGGTCGGTTTGATTATCCCAGGATGACGGACGATGTCTCTTTTGAAGACGGTTTGCTAATAGGTTGGCATACCTACTCGTCGGTTGCTTGAGTTTTGTGAAAGAAATCCCGACCTGGCGCATTTTGAAGCTCTAAATCGCAATTGAAAGCTATGATCATGTGTTTAGTGAAAGACGTATACGATTATTATTGTGATTACGATTTTACGATATTATTAAAAGATTGAGTCCCTTTGGATTGTATAAGATTGAGTGATCGTAAGGGATTTGTTTCCTTCAATTGTAATCCCTTTTTTGTTTCAGCGGAGATGTGTAGAACGGAACCCCCGTCTTTGTTCATTCGTTACAGTTCATCTACACAGGAGAAGAGGGGATACTATCACTTGACTCCCAACTCCCTACTCCCCTTCCGTTACCGGCCACGTAATGCTATCCCTGCCACCAATGTATGTAAAAATCAGCCCAACACCCGCTAAAACCATTCGTTTCATTTCTCAGCACCACTCCCCGGCTTCATGACCGGGTTCCCCTTCGCATCACTTTCGAGCTCGTCGTTCGGCTGGTCATGACGCGAGTACATCTTATACTCAATCGAGTCCTTGAAGCTCATCTTGCCGCTTTCGACTTGTTTCCGGGTAGCGGCGAGCTTAGATTTGGGGAGGCCCATTGACTCGAGGAATTTCACCGCTACAGCACCTCGTTAGCAGAAGTACCCTCGAGCAGAGAGATGGTGGACCGAGTTTGGAGGGGGGCTTGAGAGAAAAGAAAGGGTGGGAAAAAAAAAGACGTACTGTCAACCCACTCCACCTCCTTCCTCTTAGAGTCCCACTTCAGCTCCTGTGCCATGATATCAATCACATTGGGCGCCGCCTCTAAAGCAGCCTGCGCATTCAGGAACGCCAATCTCGTCCGTCTCGCCAATACATCGACGGCCGTCTGTGCATACTCATGTCTAACTGCATACCGCACCTCCCCATCAATGAACGGATACAGAGGGCTTAGCCTCTTGCCTCTCACAGGGAACCTTTGCTCAGTGGGCGCACTCAGCGCTGCGACAGTCCACGCGCGATCACCATAGGACTCGGTGAGATGTTTCGCAATGTCGGTTTCGACACCAAAATGCTGGATCAGGTTGATAAAGAGTGTCTTGGAGAAGCCGTGCGCTCCAACGAGTTTGACTTGGTGCGTTTGGCACGTTCCATTCAGTCGTGCGCCATCATCCACAAGTTCCGTGCCGGAGACGTCGGGGGCGTTGAGCACGGGTTTCGTTTGGAGAGAAAAGACTTTGATGGCTTCGTCGACGGCTTCCTCGGCCATTTGGCGGTAGGTCGTCCATTTTCCTCCTGCACAAGTCAGGAGACCTGAAGGAGAGACGTTGATAAGATGATTGCGGACGAGAGATTCGGTGTTTTTGGCATTGGGGTCTTTGACGAGCGGTCGAATTCCGGACCAGGCAGCTAGCACGTCGCCGCGACGGACGTTGATGTCGGGAGCGAGATAGCGACGGATCTCAGACAGAATCCAGTCAATTTCTTCTTCTTTGGCGACGGGGTTGTGGGAGATGGAGGTGGGGGAGTCGGTGGTGCCTGCGATGGTGTTTCCTTGCCACGGGAGGAAGAAGATAACACGTCCGTCAGAGGTCTTGGGGTCGATGAGACCCATCCTTTGGGGGCTGTAGTAACCCGGCAGGATAACGTGGACGCCCGAGCTAGGGGCGACGATGTCCTTTACAGAGGCGTCATCGAACTTTCTGATCCCGTCGGTGAAGGGGCCGGTGGCATTGATAATGCCCTTGGCTCGGATCGTGAACTCGTCGGCTTTCTTACCGTTCTTGTCTTGAATGATGTCTCTGACCGTTGCTCCGCAGAGCTTTCCATTTGCATCTTTCTCGAGTCCAGTGACTTCGATGTGATTGACGACTGTGCATCCGTACAACGCGGCAGTCATAGCTAGGGACACGTTCATCCGCGAATCATTGTGTGCTCCATCATAGTATACCAACGCACCCACCAAATTGTCCCTTTTCAGCATAGGAAAAGCATCCAAAGCCTTGCTCTTTGTCAAAAAATAAGAGGTTTCAATGCCCTCGCTCCCTGCCAAAAAATCGTAAGCCTTGGTGCCTAACCAAAAATATGGTGCCTTCCACCACTTATCCAATGGCAGCATAATCGGCAGCCACATGGACAAGTGTGGCGCAGTATCCAAGAAGTACTTTCTCTCCCTCAATGCCTCCTTGACCAAGGCATACTGATTGTAATCCAACTCCCAGAACGCCTTCTCCAGATATCTGACACCACCATGCACCAGCTTCGTACTCTTGCTGCTCGTCCCGCTAGAGAAATCGTCTCTCTCCACCACCGCCACCTTCAATCCTCTCGTCGCTGCATCGAGTGCTATTCCTGCACCTGTAGCTCCCGCGCCAATAATCAGGAGATCGTAGACCTCGGATTCGTTTTGCGGGGTACCATCCGCGGCAGACTGCGACAGAGAGCCTCCGCTGCCACCACTACGCTTCAAATCGGCAATCTGATCCTCTCGACTCTTGACTTTCGGGAAACGAGGGGGCCGGAATGCACCCTCGGCGCCATAACCTGGGGGAGAGACGACGGCGGGGTCAGAGCCGGGGATGTTGCGCGGACGGTAGGTGTAATAGAGGAGACCGCCACCGATAGCTGTGACTCCTGTCGTGTAGAGGAGGGGTTTGGCGAGGCGTTGTCGAAAGGCCATTATGTTGAGATTGTGTTGGTAAGGGAGGAGGAGTAGAAGTGAAGCTCGAGATGTGGAGGGAATAAGAAGAGAGAGCTTCTTGGAGCAAGCTAGCAAACGCGGATCTGCCCGCTTTTGTAATGTTTGTCCGTATTCGTTGTTGGTGTGATTGATTCCACGAGTTCACTGAACAAATGGTAACGTGAAGATATACTCGCCCTGCGCAATTGCACAGACGAGATTGAATAGACGGGTGAGAAGTTGGTGTTGCAGATATTATTAGGTTGAAGGAGGAAGTGGAGCCGTCTTGCTTCACTTGTGACTTCACATCCGGTGGGCGAGTCGGCCCGGCCGGCTAAGTTTAAGCTCCGAATTGATCGGCGTTCGCCCTGCCCGGAGCGGGTCCGGATTATTACAAGCGCGGCTCAGACGATCAACTTCCCGGTTGATCAGATAACCCGAGCGCTTCCAGACAGACATCTCCGTCTCCGTGTGGAACGTGCACATGTCTACATTCGCCTCGTATCTTCTCCATATGAATACGAGCAACCTGCCGATCAATTGATGAATCCTATCTCAGGGGAATAACCCAAGACAGGTGGCCCGCTTTCCTTCGACTTGAAATAGCGTGGGGATCACATGGCTTGAGGCGAAGTGCCTTGAGGAGGCACGCAGATACATAGTATACTTATCGCAATTACATGGAGACTAGGAGGGGACCGTAATTCGCATCCTCTGGAAAGAAAGAAAAACCAATACGGATATACATGGTCGGTCCAATCACCTGCCACAAAAGGAGACGGGACTCGTCTTGAGCTAAAGTCTTGGCAACTATACAGACAGTAAGTATCCGTCGTGGTCCAGTACTGAATAACTTCACTAGCTGGTCTTTCGTCTCGGAGACACTTTCAAGCGTGGCGAATATTTCTGGAAACCTTTTCAGGATCTCAAGAATCTGGTCCTCAGCCCAGGAGAGAAAGAAATCCGAGATGGAAAGACAGGCCCTTAGCCCTTGGACACTGCAGCTGTACTGCACAATTGTCTATGTTTAATCTCTTTTATTCAATTTTTCAAAGTGTTCATTATACAAACGTGCTGCTGGAGAAAGCTAAAGCGCACCAAAGATAGCTCTCATTCTCTCCTTCCCTGCCTCTAATGTGTTATCCCGTAGCCTTTCTAAAACACTGTTGTGGCTTTTCCTCTTCGTTTCCTCTTGCTTCTTCTGCTCTCTCTTAGAAATTCTTTACATCTTCATTGTTGATCTTCAAAAAATTTGTCCGTGTGGTTTTAGCAATGCTACACAAAATATGCAAAGCGGTATAGTCAAGTGATACTGCTTGCTACACTCTAAAAATTATAGGATTTCCAAAGACAAGAGACAGTTCTCCCTGCCGTTTCGAATTCTGATATGATATGGAGGCTGTAATCCGTGACTTAAAGGGGATCTTTCATTTGTCACTCCTACGGGAAATGCGAAAAAAGTTTATCTTAAAGTTTTATGTGTTTTTGGTATTCTAGTTTTGACGCCAGCACTTACGCGAAGAACGTAAGGAATCGTTTAGCACGCAACCGATCCACGTTCACCTCAGAGCTGTCTAGTTTTAGCTTAAGCTTATATTATGCGTAATAGACTATTGCAAACTTCTATACCATTATTTCTAAATTTGGCATAGATGAGGGCATACTAATATTAGTTACCGCACTATCACACACACTGATAAAAACGCAATTTTCTCAGTAATAAATTTCTCTTAACCACTTCATCTCATAATGATCGCCTTTTTCCTACTTTTAAGAAAAATAAAAAAAATCACCACAAATCTCATCTCATCTTTCTTCTCATCATGGGCAGTATTCGCCAACCGAAAGACGACTGCAAAAAGACAAGACGAGGCCGCTCACGCTCCTCCAAAGCCGCAAAATACTCCGACCCAAAGACCTGCAACCGTCTCAGCCGGCAAACTCCTTCTCCTCAATGGGACTCTTTCACCGCCCTCCAAATATCGGACAAGCAAGACGGCCCTATCAACGCTCGCAAAACACCTAGCAAGAAGACTCCATCCGCAGAATTTGCCGTATCCCAACCGTCCTATACTCAAGACGGGCAAACAAATAACAATGCTCTATACCACGCCGCACTCCAGCCCTCGATCCCACGCGCCTCGTTCCTCTGCAGACGGTGCAACGGCCCAGTGTCGGCATTGACGTACATCTGCTTAGACGAAGGGTACTGCGGCGCAGACAATACCCATATCTTCAACAGACAAACGAGCTACAATGAACTATACTTAGCCGAACTCCAGCCCTTGATTCCACGCGCCTCGTTCCTCTGCAGTCGGTGCAACGGCCCAGTGTCGGCGTTGACGTATGTCTGCTTGGATGACAGGGACTGTGGCGTAGATAATACCCCTATGTTCAACAGGCAAACGAGCTACGATGAACTATACCACGCCGTACTCCAGCCCTTGATCCCACGTGCCTCGTCCCTCTGTATACGGTGCAACGGCCCAGTATCGGCGTTGACGTACATCTGCTTAGACGACTGGTACTGCGGCGCAGACAATACCCATATCCTCAAATGGGCCCAGCTGATTCAAGAAGCGCACTTGCATCTCCACGACGGTAACGACAGCGACGACGACAACGACAACGAAAACGACAAGGACCTGCAGGAATATCGAAAGCAAGCTTGCGCTCCCGTCCTGAAATCACTCCTGGATGTCGCCGGCGGCAAAGCTGCAGCAGCGGGCAGGCCTAAGGGAGCGGATGGCGGGGCGAAAACACACCGGCCACTGGCGCTGGTGAGGCTGCCACGATAAGAAATTCAAATCTACTCTGATCTGATCGCTCCTCTACTTAAAAAGAAGAAACAGTCAGGCTCTCGATGTATAACAGAAGAATTAAACCCACTCTTTCGTGAACTTCATTTCGCATCCCACCGCGTTCGTTTTTAAGCGAAACTCTACCACCAATACCAACACCATCACCATCACCTTCACCTTTACTCTCACCTTCACTTACTTATTCTCTGTCGCTTAATAAATAAATATATATCTATAAGAAAAATCATCACGATAATCTCCTTCTCCAAATATGAGTGACAAGTTATGTGCAAGTTTTTATTGATTGAGTAGTTATGCCGGCCTGCCTGGTTAGGATAGAGGGGAAGAGTGGAAGAAGCTGAGAATTCATTGCCCGATGGTAAGATGGAGGTAGATAGCGAGGAGGGGATGATAAAGTCAAGGTCCTTTTCCATAAGGACGGGAAGGTCAGACCAGCGTATCAGCGTATGCCAGCTTAACGCTCAAACGTATATTATCGACGAGAAGATTATATACGACGTTGCATACATCTTACCATCTGTTCAGATTGCTGCTCTGTTGCCCCTTCACTGAGGTGCACACTTGTAATGGATGAGAAACTCGGCTTCATAAATAATATGCAGCACTAAAGCATTCGAATGAACGTGTAGTTTCCCGGTTGAAGAGGGTATATTTTTTAGACTGACTAATTCTGTCACCTTTCTACCCCGCCTCGCTCTTCAGTTCCCTCCATCATCAATCTACCCAAAGGAGAAGATATATAGAGAACCCAGGTTCAGACCACTCACGCTCCCATATAAATAACTGCCACTCTTATACGCCGTAGATGTCCGGTTGATGGATCATCCCCACCAGATGCTGTTGAATCACAATGCATCATCCGCAAGAAATATTAAAAGCTTTTGTCTTGATGCCCTGCCGGAAACGCCGATGTTGAGATCGTCTCCACCGCTAGCGCTCAAACATAATACAAATTTCGTTAAAATCATCGCTTGTTCATGCAGAGAAAGAAAAGTAAAGAAAAGAAGACCGCGCAAGCTTTACTTGGCATACTTCTGGCGGTAGAACTTGGCGGCGTTGACCATGTTGACCAACGCTGCCTTGGTCTCCGACCATTGGCGGGTCTTCAAACCGCAGTCAGGATCGATCCAGAGCTGCTCCGGCTTGAGGTATTGCAACATCTCCTCGATGCGGTCCTTGATCTCCTGCTCAGAGGGAACACGGGGAGAGTGGATATCGTAGACACCTGGGCCGATATGGCGAGGGTAAGCTGCGTCGACGAAGACCTTGAGGAGCTTCGCATCGGACTTGGAGTTCTCAATGGAGAGGACATCGGCGTCGAGAGCAGCGATGGCGTGGAAGAAGTCTTGAAATTCGGAGTAGCAGAAGTGGGAGTGGATCTGGGTAGAGTCCTGAACCCCAGAGACGGAGAGGCGGAAAGACTTGACGGCCCAGTCGATGTAAGCCTCACGCTCCTTTCCGGCGCGAAGAGGGAGTCCCTCACGAAGAGCGGGCTCGTCGACCTGGATGACGAAGACGCCAGCGGCCTCGAGGTCGACAACTTCGTCACGGAGAGCGAGAGCAAGTTGCTCAGCCTGGACAGATTGGTGGACATCGTCACGGGGGAAAGACCATCGGAGACAGGTGATGGGACCGGTCAACATACCCTTCATGGGCTTCTTGGAGATGGAGACGGCGTACTTGGACTCCTTGACGGTCATTGGTGCTGGACGAGATATGTCACCAACAACGATGGGTGGGCGAACGCAGCGGGAACCGTAAGATTGGACCCAGGCGTGAGTGGTGAAGGCATAACCGTCAAGTCGCTCACCAAAGTATTGCACCATGTCGTTACGCTCAGGCTCACCGTGGACGTAGACGTCGAGGTCAAGCTCCTCTTGGATCTTGACGACATCTTGGATCTCTTTCTCGATGAACTTCTCGTACTCCTCGGCGGTAATCTCGCCCTTGGTAAACTTGTTACGTTGAATGCGAATCTCCTTGGTCTGGGGGAAGGAACCGATGGTGGTGGTTGGGAAGAGGGGCAGAGCGAGAGACTTTTGTTGAGCAGCCATACGGATAGGGAACTCGGACTTGCGGTTGTACATCTCGGGAGTTACCTTGGATTGACGTTCTTTGACTTTGGGATCGTTGGTACGGGTCGAGCTGGCACGGGATTGCATGGACTTGGCGTTGGCCTCAAGTTGCTCACGGACAGCGGCTGGGCCCTCAGTGACAGCCTTGGCGATGACAGCAACCTCGGAGGCCTTCTCAACAGCAAAGGAGAACCAGTCAGCAATCTCGGGATCGAGCTTCTTCTCGCTGGCAAGAGTGTGTGGGGTGTGGAGGAGGGAAGACGAGGTGGCAACAATGACACGGTCCTTTCCGAGCTTCTGGATGGCGGTTTCCACGATCTCAATGGCACGCTTGAGGTTGGTTTTCCAGATATTACGGCCATCAACGACACCGGCAGAAAGGATGGTCTTGTCTCCCAGAGCGGAGATGACAGTGCTCAGTTGCTCCGGGTTACGGACCAAGTCAATGTGGACGGCGTAGACGTCCTTAGGAACAGCCTCGATGTTGTGAACAATGTCACCGAAGTAGGTAGCAAAAACAAGTTTGGGGATCTTGTCACCGAGAGCGGCAAGCTTCTCGTAAGTTGGCTTGAAAGCAGCCTTGGTCTTGGATGGAAGATCCTGAACGAGAATTGGCTCATCGATCTGGACGGTCTCGGCACCGGCAGCCTTCAATTGAGTGAGCAGCTCAATGTAGACTGGGAGGAGCTTCTCGAGGAGATCAATTGGGTCGACAGTTTGGTCACGGTCAGCCTTTCCGAGCTGCAGGAAAGAGACGGGGCCAACGAGGACGGGACGGGTGACAATGCCAGCGGCCTTGGCTTCGTTGAACTCGGCAACGGCCTTGGGGGTGGCAGAGAGCTTGAAAGCCTGATCGTTCTGGAAGGTTGGCTTGACATAGTGGTAGTTTGAATCGAACCACTTCACCATCTCCAAGGAAGGGACGTCGACACCCTCGCGTTGGAGACCACGGCCCATAGCGAAGTACTCATCTACAGGGTCGAGGTTGTATTTGGTGTATCTGGGAGGAACAGCCTGAGGAGAAGTACAGTTAGCAAGCACACTGCGATGTGTCTAAGGCGGGGGCAAAACATACACCAAAGTCCTGGATCTGGTGGAGAACCTGATCGTAGAGAGCAAAGTCGTTGCTGGGGATGACATCGACACCAGCATTCTTCTGGATGTTCCAATGCTCAAGACGAAGTCTCTTGGCTTCGGTGAGCAGCTCAGCTTGGGAAAGCTTGCCGCCCCAGTACGCCTCTGTCGCCTTCTTCAGCTCACGGAGAGCTCCCATGCGGGGGAAACCAAGGATAGATCTGTGGCAGACGGCGAGGTTAGCATTCTGCAGCTACGGATTAAGCCTGCGAGGGATACAACTCACGATTGAACCATGTTGGCCTTTACGAAGAGTCTTGGGGGAAATATTCGAAAAATCGTGGCACACTCAAATCAACACTGCTTGAAGATGAAGCGTCCGACGAGAGAAGAGAAGTATGAAGGACCTGTTGCCAGTTGAGCAGCAGAGAGAAGGTAAGTGTAGCTGGTTTTGGGGCCCTCTGGTGTCAATGCAGAGAAGTTAGATCTGGTGGGAGAATTTTTTTTTGGTGTTGGTTACGGAAGATGTCGTGATAGTGAGCGGTAAGAAAGGAATTTGCTTTCAAGTGGTGATGAGGGGTTGGTGGGTTGGTGGGGCTTAAGTAGCGCTTCACGTGCTGGGTTGGTCCAGTCGGTTGACGTGACTTTAGACTTTAATCGGAACTCTACTCCGTAAATTCAAGTCGACCTCGTATGCATTACTGGGTACACTCAGTGTCTTCTTGGTTCGGCGGTGAGTGGAAAACATGAAGTGAATCCCGAATAGCCACATTGGCCGATACAATTGTTTTTTGTTTACTATTGTTCCCGAGTCGATGACGCGGACAAAGAAAAGTCTGAGGAATCCGGACTTTTGAAGCTTGTTTGCCCAGCTGATTATCGGCGCTTTGATTGACTGCCGCCCTAAAGCCAATACAGCAAGTATTGAAGAGCAGAACGGAGCATCAGTAGAGAGAAGGTAGCCGAGCAGGTCAGTCAAATATATACGATATTTTGTATATACTTGACTGGCAAGATGCTTGCACAGACTACTCTGCATTTGAAAAGTACGTACAAGGTGATTTACGCTTGATGATACCAGACTAGAGTGATGTTTGCTCGAACATACGAATCTCAACTCTGGATCTAAAATTCTCATACTTCATTATCTTTTCTAGCAATATTTCTCCCCTCCCCCTTATTCTCCTCCCCTCACCTGACATGTACGCATAGGCTCATGCAGCATCTACGACGGTAACCCAACTCGGCAATTTACTCACAAACTACATCCTCTATCTCCAGAACCCATCATGCATTTTTACGAAATTTTAAGCTTCGTTTCTTACTGCGTGAATGAGTTTGTGTATTTAAATAGCACGTGTTACTGCATCTGCTCAGACCCTATAAAATAACATGACCACTTTCTCTAGACTCTCTGCATAATCACCACACGGGCCTTTAAAGAAGACATAATCGATGCCTTGGATCCATGGCTCTTTACACTCAAACAGTACATGATCGACCTAGACCTCTTCAAATCCGTCTTCTAAATCCGTCTTATCGTCGTCTACTCTCCATCAAAATAAATTCCTTTCTGACCATCCTCTCTGAACCCACCAATCACCGACCAACAGTGAAAATAAAAACGGCGACACAGCTCGAGCTGACAGCAAGCAACCTTTCCCTAGAGGAAAAAAATGGTGCCTCAAGGCTTCCCATCAACATGCGAGCGAGGAGACGTCTTTCTTCGCGCGTACACCCCCAGCTTAGTCATTTTTTATGTTTAAGAAGGGAGATGGTGAGGTAATGCTTCTGTTAGGCATCTTAACGCTTTGCAAATTGGTTGCCAATCCATAAGCGGACAGAACGGAAATGAACCTTTAATACAAATGCAATACTCTATACACCATAGCCAGCCTAGCACCTCACCCCTGCCTTCCCTTTCCAACCACCCTCCGTCCACCTTCACCCAACTTAGGGTTTCTGTCCGCTGAAAATATTCACCTTCAATACCAACTCCCGGTTCTGACTTCATATTATTCCAGTGGCATTCAAACAGATGGTAAGAAGACCAGCCAATACAAGAGTGGAACGATCGGGTAAGTACTCCCTCTGCAGACTTCTCTTTAAATATTCCGAAGCTCTGTGTAGAACGGGATACCCACTTCAGCCATCGAAGTTTCATAGAAAAGTGAAAGACCGGTCGGCGAGTACAAGAATTGAAGACAAGTTCAGCTCTGTACCAAGCGCAATCTTAACCTCAATACTCGTAAATAAAACCATTGCTAGGACTCAGGTGATATACCATAACGAACCTGTCGAAAGCGACGAATACCTGGGGTAGATTTAAGAAATTGCAATTGACAGCGCTCATGAGATCGACAACGGAACCCCAATTTAGCAGGTACGAAACTCTCGAGAAGCCTCGACGGGTAGACGTAGAGAAGAAGAGAATCAGCTCAATAGTAGTCAATCTTGCCCATCTCCTTGCGTAGTCGGCTGGTGTTCATATACATGTACACTTGACAGTGCTCGCACATAGGAATCCTCAGCAACAATAAGTTAAAACCTGCAGCAAGACCGACAATCGCCATTTCTGCGGTAACTTCATGAAAGTTCAGTCCATAGCGTAGCGTGGATGGCACCGTACTTGGACTCATTCCGAAATATATATCCGCCGTATTTAACTACTATTCTGCGGTATAGGGTTATAATACTGGAAACTGCAGTCTGCTTTTGCACAAGAACTACTTATGAGGCGCATTCCCCTACCTTACCCACCACACCAGTGTCCTTCGCTTTGACTATTCTACAGCACCTCACTCAGTCCAGAAACATAAAATGGCATACCACTTCACATGTGACGCATTGAACAGCCCTATTTTAGACCTTCAAGTTCACGGCGCGATTAATTGCCGAGTATTGATAGTCTCTTGAAAGCCTGTGGCTGGTAGGCACTAGGTGTTTCTGTCCACGGGATCGGGACTCCTTATGATACTGTTTTCAATTTTGTACAAGCGAGAGGTGGGTTGGGATTTTGAAAAGCTGTAATCTAATAGTACTTGATGCTCAGAGATTTAATAATGGCAACTATACAGATGGTAGCAGTATCTCTACCCTTTCGAAAGCCCCAGTAACGCCTTTTTATGATCCCATATCGCTAGTTTCATCCTCCAAACCGTCTTGATCATTGTCATGAATAATTAAATCGGCATCTTGGTCATATAATATAGATGGGGGAAATACACCGGTACTATTTCTTCCCATGTCTGAAAGTCTGCCCGTGTCGTTCTTGGCTACCGGTTCTTCGATGATTTATGCTGTCCAAGTACTCTTAGGCTCGCTCAACCAAGAGTAAATGTGTAAGTACAGGTAGAGAGCGCTCATTTGAGCACCCTGAGTCGCTAGCAATGGCTTCTTGGTATTTTCCCCTTCCCCTTTTGATCGACCCCGAGCCTTCCAGAATCGCCTGAAGGGGTTCCGACGGGAGGACTTCCTAAATTAAGGACATCTTAAATCAATGACTGGCTCGTTTGTTCGGATCTTTGGCGGCGATGCTATAGAGTAGATACATAAGACAGTGAGATTCCTCGCAGCTGGGGAGCATACAGAGAAACAGAATTCTTTGCAAGCCTCATGGAATGGATGCGAGGCTGTCTATCTGTACTCTTATAAGATATGGCCGAGTCTTACCGTATTATTTACTTCTTTCGCGAGAAAGTATTCCAATCAGACTCGGACAAGTACATCTTGAAATCAATCACATCTGCCTTCATCCGGGGCGTCACCGATGACAGACTCAGAACCCTAGCTCTGACCAATAATTCCCTCCTCCTGCCCTGTCTTTGGAAGGAATACGAGACACTTGTGCTGTCACAGAGCGCGCTGAAGTTCCAGGAGAAGATCGAGGCAGACATAGAGAAGATGAAGATGTTCGAGAGGATGCAGAAATACGTGGAACACCATGCCAGAGTGCCAGCTCAAGTTTTTATCGCTAGCTTATTCAAACTTGACGATTGCAATTGAAAAATTCGCCATTAAATGTTAAAAATTTACAAAAATGATAACAACCAAACACTTGACAGCACTTGATTATTGACATATTTACTTTAGGTAGCAAGTCCCTCGATTCCGACGTAGCTTTTGCCGCATCACCTTTCACTCCTTTTATCCAAGCTGGAATCATTGCGTCAAGTTCAATATTCTATTGATCTTCATAGGTGGTAAGTCCTTGCCTCTGTAAGGCCTCGAATTATGCAGCCATTGCTGGTGATCGGAGGATAGCTCTAACCAAGGAGGAAACCGGCCGTTATAAAGACTATAAATAACTGTCTCCGCTTTGGCTCTAATTTACTGCAGCTAGTCGTCCGTCATTGATCGCTGCCCGCTATTTCTCAATGCAGCTGCCTCGTCATTGTAATTCTCTTTACTTATGAACTTTTGCTTCAATTTTGTATTTAATCATTACTGCATTCGATTATCGTTACATTCACCTGTTTTTCAAGCCTGCGAGAGACCAAGCGTTGCACTCGGTATTCGATTTTCCTATCCTGTCGCCTTCATTCCCAAGCCGATGAACAGCATTTTCGTCGCCACCTTCAGCTCTGTTGATCAGCTTGATTTAAATGATGTGCTTACATTGAAATAAAGCAACTAGTCATTTCAAACAGTCCAGCTTCGCACGGAAACGACATCTCATTCATCAAGGTGAGAACAACTTCCTACCATAATTGACCACACAAAGACAGTCCACAGCATTAAAATTCCATGTCTCGGTGCTTGACTCCAATGCTTATGTCTCGGAATCTATCTTAGATCATGGATTCTGTATCCGTTTTACTGAAGCAGAGCTGTGATTGGTTTGATTGGTGCATGGTGTCCCTAACAATTTGATGGCGGATTAGCCATAGCATAATATTGTAATACTTATGCAGCCCTGTTTATGAAATGTATCGAATCCATCTTGTTTAAGAAATCTGGGATGCGTAACACCGTAAATAGCTTCTTCAAGATTGACTGTTACTGGCTCTATTCACTGGTCAGTCTGGACTCCATCCTTTGAAGTGACTTTCGACTTTTACATAAATACATTGATATGATACAGAATCAGATACTTCTTGCCAGGAAGGAAAGAATTAGGAAAATCAGAGTCTCTCAGCTTTTTTCCGAAAACTACGGCTCTTAATCTTCTAGACCCGAATGATTCTACGGTCTTGAAAGAGAACCTCGGAGCCTGTAACGCCTGGGATCGAAGTCTTGTCCATCTTCGGACTTCCGGCTCTCAAATATTTGACAGCAACGTGTCCTCAGACTGGCTGTCATTCTTCCTTTTAAAAAATTTGCTTTTGAAGGGGTGTATATTCTGGTCCCTAGTATTATGTACAGGTTATATCATGAGGGAAAAGCATCCCGGTTCTTCTCTCGCTGACCACATTGCAAGAATTGCGAAAACTGTCTTTCCCGGACCCATATCATTGCGTCTCCTTTGGTCTGCCAGGGGTGCGAGTTTAGCTTAAAGAACCCCTTTGAAGTATTGAATTCAACATAATAGAAAGAAATTGAGAATTCGCTTCCCCTTTTCGCGTGACGACCTCGCTTAAGCCTACATATAGCAAATCAAATCACTCCGTGAAAAATATACAAAAATGTAGAAAAATTCCAAATCAGCTTGAAAAACGCCAAAAATAAGTTCAGCCCGGCGTCGATGGCCTAATCATATATCGTATCGAAATTTGTAATTGCCCCGAACCGAGTTGTTGATCCACCACACCAGGTGACCCGACACAAGAGCACGTCTAACTCAAGTGCTGCTACTGGATGCTGAATTGTTACCGTATCTCTATATATAGATCAACCCCTAATATATTATTCCGGATACAAAAGAACGATCATTTCTGATTAGCTAGTATTGAGAAACGCTCAATGAGGAAGTTTGTTTACTTGCCTTCCTTGAAATTCAAATACCACTTAGGTCCCTAAATCAATGCCTTCATCCATACACGCTGAATACAGAGATTGTTTTACATTTTTCCTCCGCCCGAACGGCTACCAAGGCTCAATGGACCATTTCACAGTGAAGGTTTCGAAACTTTCAGCCTGGCCATTTTGATCAGATACTTACTATATTACTTCATTACTGTGAAATGAAGGAAGGACAAAGCACCTGACAGATCTCCACGGCCCCAAAGACAGATGGATTACTGCTAAGCTGCCATACCGTTGATCTTTCTGAGAAACAGTGATTAATGTAAACTACCTTTTACAAGCACTTTTGATAGGTGTCTCCAGGAAAGAATCAAAGGAAGAAAACTGAGATCGATACTTAAAAGCAGTGTACTACCTCCCTAATGAGTCGGAGCGAAAATAATTTCGGCGGAGTACAGAGAGGACTGAGATCATTAGGGGTTGCTGTAAAAGCTTCCGAAGAATATTTACAGCGACCAGGAAATCCTTGTGCCAGATTTGGCAGAGTTGTTAGGCATATTTGTAAATTGAGAGAAGACTGTAGCCCTGGGATTCGTAGAGGCCCCATATGGGCAGTATTTCGGGGTCAGTTTATATCAGAAATGTAATCTACTTACTTTTCATCGAGCCCGAGGAGTTTGTATTCTCATCTCCGGCCGAGGCGAGCTGAAGTCGAGTCACCCGCTACATCAAAGACAACACGCCTCAGCACGAGGCCCGTCCCGGTCAAGTAGTATCCCGACTCACTTCCCTAATCGCTTTGCTTTGTTAAAGATGACGACTTTTTGCAGTACCACTTCGCCCGGATAAAATCCATGTTTCTGGAGCCTTTGTTACCTCGAACCATTATACATGTTTCCTCAAAACCGAAACAGAGTAGCCGAAACCTTCAGACATCTCTTTGGCATCCTATGGGAGATCAACAATGTAGCGCTATTCTCATATGAAATTGAGATGTCTTTGTTACTTAACCATTTTTTATTACCATACGGACCATCTCGATTGATAGAACCCAGCACCAGCAGTCTTTCACATTTTTGATCTAGTTCTTCTTTTCTTTTCCTAGTTCGAAGTTATCTATCTGTACGGTCAAATTATTTGGTCTCTGACTATCGATATTCTGCGCGTCATCAAGCGTCTCCGAATATGCCGCACAGCTGGTTCCGGCACGCGATAGAAAAGTCGGCTGGGTCCTGCATCTCCCTTTCAAGGATGAGTGGGTGCAGCAGATTTCTGTTAGTGTTTGGGTTCCTGATATCAAGTTCTAAATCATACCAGCATTTCTTTTTTAAACCGGGTGCTTGTTGAGACTTGCCTGTACTCTTCTGAATACCCCTCTTCGGGGTAGATAGAGATATGGAGCAAATTTGCAGCCAAGCAGCATCTCAAGTTCCCTTCATACTCTATATTGTGCCATTGTTCTACAATTTCATATTGAAACTGTCCGAATTGTCTTTCTGCTGTCCTTTATTAAGTCTGGTCATGAGATTTTTTCCCTGAACATTTGGTTACAAAGCTTTATCAAGAGGACTGGGGCAGCAAGCAAAGCAGACATAGCAACCCTCATTGCAGATCTTTCGCCTGCTCATTCGAAACAAAACTACAAGAAGTGGAAAACAGCGGCAAGTCGCAGGCGCCAACTTGGAAGGAAAAAGTCGCACAGGGATCGAATCGTGTATGAAGTTTCTATGAAAAAGCGTCTGAAGCAAGCGTGAGTGTCAGATGCGATACAACCCAGCTGCTCAGGGAGGGAGCAGACGTCAAACGTAAACAGGCCAGCCGAGCCTTTGACGCCTGAGGCATCAACGCTACACATCCAAAGGGGCAGGTCCCAGCTGATACGAGTCGCACCCCGAGAAATTCACTTATGGTAATCAAGTTCGTTGGAATTCGCAGAAGAGGCGGCTCAAGTATATATCTAATAGTACTAGTCACGCAAGATCGTAGTTCTGAAGCTTCAATTTGTTCGAGAAAGAGCTCCTCTTGATTTCCGTTTGCCTGTTCATGGAAATTTGAAATATTGCCTAAGATTCGAGGGGGGAAGAAAAAAAAAAAAAAAACAAAAACAACAACAGATCCGCTGCTCGCAAATACCATATGCAGAAAAAGAAGATTCTTACTCCAGCAGATCACATGACCATAACACCAGCTATCGAAAGCCCAGGTAAGATCAAAAGCTAGTGCCCCATACTATTATAATATATCACAAATTTATTTTCCTTCTATAATCGAGAGACCAACTTGTATAAACGATTGTACTTCATTGCGTCTATCCAACAATAACACAAGAAGACTTCGGGAAACACTGCTAGTTGGAAATTATACACCATGAGCATATTGAGCTGTTTCACAGGGATGCCCAGTTCGTGATACGCAGTTGTCGGAATATCAGCCGACGGTGTATCCATTTTACTCAATGTCAACAACCCGGTGGCCAGAAAGATAAGCTAGCTAGCTATATGCAAGCTCGAGAATGAAGGGTCCTGCGCTCGGCGCGGACATTCAGAACTGAAGGACGGGAAAGAACTCAAGTGAGGCCTGAGCCGTGTCGTCGGTGACAACTGCTTAGCATGGCCCAAAAAGCAGAAGCAGACTACTGAAGTCTTCTGGCGCGGAGATGGGATCTTACTTAGCCTTGATTAAGATAGAAATCCAAGTACCCAGCTAAAGACTTAGTTAAAGCTTTCCCTCTCTTCTCCCACCGGTTACAGGGTTCTGCTCCAAACCATCTTTTGACTATGTCAAGATATCAGCGCGTGTTTACCTTTTCTTTTCTTTTTCTTTTCTTTTTTTTTTTTTTTTTTTTTTTTTTTAGTT